TTTTTTTTTCTTTTTTGATCTTCTGAGTTTATTTCTCCTTCTTGAAAAAAAATCTCAGTTTTTCTTTTTTTTTTTTTTTCAGTTTCTTCACGTTGGAACCCCTCAGCTCAGCCAAGAGATGGAAAATTTCACAAAGCGCCGCGGTCAGTTCAGCCGTTGACAGGAGGAGATTCAAAAGCAGTCCACGAAGCACTTGAAGGTAAGCCTGAAGAATCTCATGGATAAGAGCTAAATGAAAATTATACTGCGCCTTAGGGTAATGATTTTTGTGTTTAAATCGCCCAGTTACAAGTCCATTATCCCGAACGGTATGCCGCAATTCGACGGACGAAGAATGTGACCTGCTCCGCGGTCCGTTAGCTGTGACCGACGCTTCCCCCGCCTCCTCCCGCCGTCAGCTGACGTGATTGGCTGAGGAGAGCCCAGTGCTTTGTGCACAGCATCAGCAGCACAGCATTACTACGGCATGTCAGCCCGGCAGCGCGAGCCTGTGAGTCCGGAGTCAGGGCAACAGAACCCGTATCCGTAGATGCGTCTCCACAAGCATCGGGAGATCCGCCACGACAGTGTAGGAAAACAAACAAACAAACGTAAAAATGTTTTAGGTGGTTCCGAGATCCAGCCGAGCTGTGCGTGTTTACAGCGCGCCAGTCAAAACGCTAGAATTCTCAGGTGTATGCACACTCAGCCTACGCATTTAGATTTCTCTAGAAATTCAGTTTTATGTAATCGTCTGCAGATTATCGTTCATTGTCACTGTCAGAGGTGTTTCTGCGTAGTTACGGATCTGCTTACAAAGATACAAATCTCAATACACCCCAAAGATAAATATAGATTCAGAGATTTGTTTTTAATTTATTTTTCACATTTATAAATATGAGCTTTAATTCATGCGAGCAAAAATTTTAATGCATGACAACTTTGAATGAAGACTGAAGATTGTTGCTGTTTTAAGCAAGAGGCTTGTTGGTTTTCAGTTAGTTTCGATTTGTGTTTTCTGAGACACGTATAGCACCTGTCTGCCTAGAATGTGAAACCTCCATCACCCAACGTCAGTAACGCATATGCGCTGACGTCATCAGTTGGTCATCCAAAGGGACTATTGCCGACGAGTTCCCGGTGTATATCACAACTACCTCATATTCAAGTCACAGAAATAACTGTACATGATGTTGGCGACATCTAGTGGTGATTCTTTATATAACATGATGTGAGTAGTTACACAACACCACTAATATTTTTGTACCACTGTTTTGTATACTGTATTTAATGACATATCAAATACAATAAAACACAGATCCACTGCAACATCAAACCTTTATAAATATGCATTCATTTAACTTAAATCACCAGACGGTGACAATAAATAACACTGAAATAAATAGTCTCAGACAATTAAACACGCTTTGAGTTGTGAGAATAAAAACACACAAGTTGAAATACTAGAAAATCTAATTTAAATTACTCCTGAAGGACTGGCCTTGCACAGCCAGTGTGACAAGTGATCATTCTATACAGTATACAAGATTCCTGCAATCACCTTATTAAATGACACATCATGACGAAAGCTCATTTTCACTGTAAGGAAAACTGATGAACAAAATAGACATACAAGAGTTCACAGGAATTTCCCTCAGTAACACATTCACTTATGTATACTGTGATGAATATGGCTTGTAACAAAAGGCTTGAATTCCATAACAATAAATGACATAGACCTGCAAGAGGAGGAGCAGCGTAGTAAACCTAAAAGGAAGGGAGGTAAGCAGACGTCTCTCTTAAACATAACTGCATCTTTTCCTGTTCACACATGGACCCCATATATAATCTATTACTCTACATTTGTAAGGCTTGATTTTCATAAAGAATGGCATTGCCTCTGTTACATTTATTTGTACTTGTTAATTGTGCTATATAAATATGCCTCCAGAACTGCAAATTCACTAAACGTGCAAGACAGAGATATGTGGTGCTGTTTTGTGCAATTTTTAATCTGACTACAACATCTGGCAATGTTAAAATAAACAAACAAAAAAAACATCTGTCAGAACTCACTGGCTGCAATGACGCAAAACTGGCCTAGTTTTAAAATTAGAAGGACTTTTCTCAATAAAAACAGCCAGCTATAGATCCTGGTGGAGGTCGCTGTGTGAGAGAGACTGATAATCCATGCCTGATTTAGCTTGATGCCTTTGAGCAACTACTCTCTGGTAGCGGGCTTGTTGCTGGTAATCTGGGTCCACATTTATCCAGCTGTTGGCCACCCACTTCACTCCACGTCTGACTGGACAGTCGCCGTGAAGGGAATACTCATCTAACTCACCCATCCAACCTGTGGAAGCCAGGAGAGAAGCAGCGTTTAAGAAGAAAAAAAGGTTTTAGCAATTACTGGAGTCTTGAAAAATACCAACAACAAGCGTGACAAACATTTAGACGTACAACTTTACAGATTTGATGTTTGCTGCACTGTGCTGACCATTTACCACAAGTTAAATATAATCAGGTTAAAAATAAAGTACACCCTCTTTCAATTCTAAGGTTTCACATATCAAGACATTAAAAGGTCATTAAATGAAGTAAATACAACTTCAGGTGAGCAATGACACATTACACCGTGTCATTGTTTATTTGTTATTTTTAATAAATGTTAAGCCAAAATGAGACGCAGTGCACTTACTACTTCTATAGGAATTAATAAGTAGCAGCAGCAGCCCATTGCTGCTAAACAAATTCAGTTGATTAACCGTTCACCAGCGAGTGTGAGAAACTCTATAAAAGCAGAAGTTTTGGCAGTTTGCTGGTCTGGAGAATTCAGCTGTGTGTTAACAAAATGCCGAAGAAGAAAGACATCAGCAATGACAGGAAGACTTATGAAGCCATTTCCAAGACAATTTAAAGTCCATCGTTCTGCAGTTAAAGAAATATTATTCACAAGTGGAAAACATTTGAAACAGTCTTCCCAGGAACGGATATCAAAGCAATTTCACCCTTAGGTCAGACTCCACAGTAATTAGAAAAAACGCAAAAATCTCCATGAACTACATCTCAGACTCTACAGACCTCAGCTACCATGTAAAATGCTAATGTTCATGACAGTACAATTAGAAAAAGATTGAATAAGTGTGGCTTGTTTGGAAGTGTTTCTTAAGAGAGATCCTCTATGTTATATCTGAACAGACCAAAAACTACTGGAACATTGAAATACAGCTTATCAGCACGAATCCTTCATGCCACCTGTCAAGCATGGTGGTGGAGGGATAATAATCTGGGCTTGTTTTATAGCCTGGGGACTTTGCAGTCACTATTGAGTTAACCTTGAACTCCTTTGCATGTCAAAGTATTCTAGAGTCAAATTTGAGCTGTTCTATCTGAAAGCTAGAAAAACTGGGTCGTGTAAAAGGATTATGGGCCTCGTTTACTAATATATCTGTGTAATCGTTCCTACCCTGCACAAAAAAAGAGTTCCCACTTAAAGTCATCGTCTGATGACTTTAAGTGGGAACAATGCGCATTTTATATTTCTCATTGTTTTTTCCATACTTTAGTTACTGTGTCGAAGTTTGGGGGAATACATATGAGAATACTATAAAACCTTTAAACTTATTACAGAAGAAAGTGATACGAATGATTCATAACGTTAAATATAGAGAACATACAAATAAATTATTTATAAAATCAAAATTATTAAAATTAGGAGATTTAGTGAAACTACGGACACTATTAATTATGTTTAAGGCTAAAAGTAATATTTTGCCTTCTAAGTTACAAAGAGTATTTTTAACGTGTTCGGGGGGAAATGTTATTTTAAGCATCAGCTAGCTAGGACAACACAAAGATCAATGAGTCCAACGGTTAGGGGTATACGACTGTGGAACTCTCTTCATTATAATTTAAAGAGTTGTATAAATTTACATTGTTTTAAAAAGTGTTACATGTCTAAAACGATAACTCAATATGAAGATTGTGAATGAAATTGGAGTTAATTGAATAAGGATCCATTATTTTTTGTTTCATTTATTTTATTTACTTATCTTTTCTCCTTGTTACTATGTGGAGTGGTATATTCTGATTGTATATTTATTGTTTGGTTTGAGTTAGGACTGGAAATAAGTGTTAATGTTAGTTTGTTCCTTGACTTTTGGTGCCCACTTGCAATATAAGTTGGATTGTAGATAGGGGGCAGGGTTTAATAAGAATATATTCTAAATATATAAATAAATAAATAAATTTATGAAACGCACGTACCATAGTGGGCACAGGCTTGTGGAGTTTCCAAACATTTGCATACTGCCCTGCCCCAATTTTTCTATATAAGGAAACACATTTCCCTCCAGGTGACGCAGAGAAAGTGGAGACGATGATATGGCAGGAGAGAAGCCTGCATTTGTAGACTAAAAATAAGGAGAAAGTCATTCTATAATAGTGTCTGAAGTTCAAGGAGGAAACCAGAAAAGGAACAGGTTTCTGAAGTATTTCCACAGGAGTGACAATTGTTCAAATAAATAGATGAATAGCGACACTCAGGCTGAAACAACTGGAGTGCTGAATATGATTTGCCCTGAGACAGACACTGTGGTTCAAGTAAAAAAACAAAAACAAACAAACTTTGGGATCAAAGGTGATATGAACGAGACGACACGAAAAAAAGAAAAACAGGTGGAGGCCAAGGTCCATATAGCCTAATCTACTGGCTACACGTTAGAAACTCAATGCAATAAAAAAGAAAGAAAAAGAATCCAGATTCCCTAACAAGTATTCTGATTACTTACGGTAGTTTTAACACCGTAAATATTAACTGAAAAGCAATATTTTTATCATTATTTTTAGTAGTAGTATTCAGTTCAAAGATTTTTTTTAATTGGCAAGGCAGCCAGGCTGTGATTTGTTCATACACATGGTGAGAAGGACTTCTAAATTTGTTCATAAAGAACAAATTCAGGTACGAAACGATTGATCAGTCACAGATTTTTCTG